CTTCTCTTCAAGAGTTATAAGTACGATTGTAAGAGACGTACTCAGCAAATCCCAGTCACAGCCGAATCTAAATCGCCACTGTCCAGTTCTAGCGATGATTGAGGTGCATTCTATCCAAGTGTATTTATGGATACACATACGATGCATGCGCGATGTGAAAATCAAAAGAACTTGTGTTTCGCTAGTTCAGATAAATGCTAGTATGGATCCTACTCCAAGTATGTCTCCGTAGCCAAGAATCGTGTTATTCTCAGTGTTTCGAAGGTGTGTATTTCTTGGAGACACTCAGCTGCGTTCCCTCGCAGAATGCGCATGTCGCACTGCGATAATCGCAGTACCTGCGGTTTGGCTAGGAGATCAATTTCCTGCGAGGTGTTGATCACCAGCTCTGATTTAGCGGGGGAGGGGCGTTCAATACTGTCGGACAAGTGTCCAGATCCCGGGCTCGGTCGGATCTGGAAGTTAGCGACCGCCCATTGGATCAGAAACGGTTGGTCAACCAGTGGTGATGACAGATATTTTGTTTGGTTTTGATGATCTTTGGGACTCCTGTAGCGTGGTATATAAGCAATTAATAATGATTTAGTGATAGTGTGCACGCATGAGTCCGTGTTGAGCCGTAGCCATCTGGCTCAAGTGCGTTTTGTTCTAATCTCCACTCTCCCCTCCGTATCGCGTTCCTCAGTGCTGGGAAGGATCAACTAACAAATTATTTTCCCGCTGTAATCATGCACGGGTTTGCATACGTGTTTCTGGCCTCGCAAAGATCCGTATATGTCCCACAAAATCTCTGACCCATAGGATATGGGCTCCTCCCTCTTCTAAGTCGAGAAAAACTAAACCCATAATATTTGTGACAACAATAACCTCGAATTCCACATTCATGGTTGGTCTTCACGTATGGACGGTGAGTAAAGAGTCAAGATGGTGCTGAATATCAGTGAGCTGAGAGGTCGTATCCTGGAGCAACTGGACCACAGCCGATATAATTGTCATCCGGTCAGGTGTTTTCGCTTACCTTTTGCTGATTGTTGGCAACTGTATCGAGTCCCTGTAGAGTTTGTTCAAGATCGACGCCTGAGGCCAAGTGGGGATTTCGAATATTCAACAGATACATTAGATGTATGAACGGAATAATCTTCGTAAGGTGGTGCATTGATCGAAAACTTACCATTGCCATCCTTTTCTTCCAAGAGGGAAGCTGGAATATCGAATGAATCCTGTGGAATCGCCGGTACACTTTCAGTGTTGGAGAGATCGTGTATATCGTGTTCAATCTTGGCCAGGATGGTGTTCATTTTGGGATCAGCAACCGGATCAAAGGAAACCTAACTCCGATGCTTTGAACAAGGTGAGCATACCCCACCTTACTCTTTTTAAAGTCTCCGTGCCACGAGACAGCGCTAGAAGCGCTGCAGCCAGTATGAATTTGGCAGACATTGTAAGGGAAGTTGTAAGTAGTAGCTGAATGGAAACGTAGTATCCCCATTACGACCGCGAAGTCAGTCGATGCGCCGCGGCGAGCGATATCTAAATGAACTAATGGGGCGAGCGCTGTTTCTCAACAATCGGGCAGGTTTGCAGCTTTCCACGACTCCC